GGGTGTGCATATGTAGCTCTGATACAAGCAGACTTGTTGCTTACCCCCGGTGGGCTTTCACTGGGGTAAGCAGGTGCTGTACCCGCTGCTTGGAAATGACAGAAACCCTTCTGCCTGCTTTGTACTGACATTCCTATTCTGAATCAAACCCAGCGTTACCCTCAGAGATGGGCACCACCTCTCACACCCACTTTCTCCATTCAATGGTTTTATCATGATTATGTTATCATGGGGATGTATCTGAGCTGTTCAGTCATTCCCAACGGCTCTTGGCTTACCTGCACGGCAAGTTATTATGCATTAGGAAAAGAAAAATAAGGAATGAAATTAACCAATGGCTTGGAGAAGAAAACAGATTAAAACCCAACTTCTCTCTCTCTGGCAGGGGCTGGGTAGTAATAAATGATGGTTCCTGTAACATAGCTCAAACTCCACTGTAATGCTGTATGCAAAATCTTAGCACAAAATTGCCTGCAAGAGTGGGAGGAGGTGAAAAATGTTCGTCAGGTGTAGAATCAATTAACACAAGGCATCATTAGCACAGGGTCAGGGCGTCTGGGGAAGGCAGCACAGGACAGCGAGTCCTGCTCGGGTTCAAAACACAATCAAAACAAACAGGAATGTGAACGCAGCCATGGCTGCCAAACGCTGGTGCCTCACTGGCAAAACCACACCCTCATCAAATCCTTCATCTCCATAATTACAGTGTGGGCCTGTTCCCAGGCCTATGGCTGGGAAGGAAGCCCTTGTCAAATGGGGAACATGGAATACTGAGCCAGCAGGAGCCCAACAGCTTAAATAAATTCCCAGACATGGAAGATTTTCCATTTATGATCCAATGCAATCAGCTCTCACCCGTAAAACTGCAAAGTGCCATGGGACACATCTGAGACAAAGCTCATAGGGTCACTCCGGTCTCCTTCCAGCTCCACCATAGAGCTCCCTACACCGAGATCCCTGATTTCCCCCCACCTCATCTCACACTGAGACTCCAGTTTTGGCCTATTCCCTTCATCCTGGCAATTCCCACAGGCTGAGGGAAGACTTCAGTGAAATGACATGATTTAGCTCAAAGCACAGGCTGAAATGAATTGGCACCTAGACCTGAACTTAAAAACATTTATTCATGGAGACTTGGAAGGATTCCTTGACCTGGAATGGTAAAATCAGAAGCTGTTACAACTTTAAACAACCAACAGCAACATAAACAGCAGCTAAGGTTTGTACTAGTCATCTGAAATGACGGGAACCATTAGCAGCTTTCAGATGAAGCTGGCCAGACCTTTCTCCCACACCAGCATCCCTAGCTCAGGGCCCAGTTCAGACCCTCTTCCTAGTTTAACTTGCACAAACCCAGGCACACTTTGCACTGCAACACCTCTGCTCTAATCCAAGTGAAACACAATCCTTACTAAAGCAAAAGGCTGCTCCTGCGACGGTTTAGATCTAATCAGCAGCATTAACAGATGTTCAGATCCAAGAGGAGAGCCTCAAAAACTAAGAATGCTATTATTTCACTCATTCAAATCTTAGAAAATGCAAAGATCCCCATTCATCCCCTCCTTACACTTACTCCACACACTCCTCTTCTGCTACAGCAGAAAGAAGTGGGCCTGCCACTAAAGCTCTGGTTGTCTTCTGGCTTTCTAATCTATGCAGAAGACTACCAAGTCTAGCTAATTCACGCAATGAAAAATACCTCAGAGACCTGTATATGAACTAATTAAAATAAATAAGACCAGCACAGATAATGATAGAGCAAATCAAGTGCACATGAATTCAGCCAGTGACTCACCACTCCCTTGTTTTCCTTATTGGAAAACTCAGCGTATCACCGTAGCAGAGTGACAATGAGTCAGGAAACTGGCATGAGCCACAAACGGCAAGGAAATTAAAAGAAGTATCTACAAAATCTCTTTGGGGAGAGATCTGGGAGATTTTTGCTGGCTTGGTACAGACGTGGCAGTGGCCTTCACAACCCTGCTCTCATGGCCTTCTGGCTACACAAAGCCAATGAAGGAAGGAGTCACCAGTTCTCCTCTGCACAAGACAAAGCAAGGCTCTTGCTCTCAAAGAGCAATTTGATGCCTTTACTTTTATATCATCTTACTTATATTTTAATCAAACGCGTTCAAAGCACACTATCATATCCTACTGAATGCTTGATATCACCTTATTTAGCAAATAGGTGGGTATTACTTGCCTTAGCACCAACCAAAGTACATGCAAACATTTTGACAGGACTAAACTGAGCACTAATGGCACGAGTGACATGACAATAACAGTTCCCAAATTAACTCCCTGTCAGCATAACCTCTGGCTGGTCGCTTTGTTGCCTGCCTCAATCACAAAGACCATGAGAACCTTCTGACACAGATTTTGGGGCAGGTTGTGATCACAAAGCCCAGGCAGAAAGCCTGTGCCATCAGCTGTACCTTCTCCACACAAATAGCTGTGTCACTGGAGACGCCAACAGATCACACTTCACTGCAGTAAGATTCAATTCCTAATGTCAAACTAAAAGAGTTCTTTAGAGAGAAATAAACCACCACAGATTTCAAGGTTGTGAAGCTAAGGCAAGAAAGCCTCTATGTTTTCTAGTGTCACAGGCTCCAGTGAGTGAGGACTTTTTACCTCTTTTATAGCCACACACACTTTTGTGACACAGAAGATGTGAGCGAACAACTGGGTGACCAGTGACGACTTACAGCACATGACAGCCAATTTCTCCAGTTAAGAAGATTCCTATCAAATCTGTAGAAATACTCAGATTGGACATAACTTCCAAGTGACTGCATCTCATCTCTAATTTACAATTTGCTTCTGCTTAGCAATGCCTCGAAGCTGTTTTGGAACATCACAAGCTGTCCAGGGCACGCTGGTATATTTCTATGTAATGTAAGGAGCTTCCTATCCTTTTTTACTATAAAGAATGTTTTATAAATGCAGGGGTGATGCAGATGCAGAGGTGCCCTGTTTCTCAGTCAAAGCATGACACATCTACTGGCATGGTCCTGGGCTAAGGGAGATTTCTGGTGATCAACTTCATGTCAGCACAGGGGTAAAGGAGCACATCTCTGCAATGTTAGTTCATGTCCACTACACAAACCTCCCTCTGCAGCCTAGGTCTGGATAGAATCATGAGGCTCTAAGTGCAAAAGCAGGAAAAGCTGGAATTGCCTATAGCATTATCTTCCACAGGGAAAGCTGACCCCAGCTGACCAAGGGATATCCCAGACTACATGACATCATGCTCAGCATATAAAGCAGGGGGAAGAAGAGGGAAGGGGGGAATGCTGGAGTGATGACATTCGTCTTCCCTAGTCACCATTACACATGATGGAGGCTGTGCTGAGGATGGCTGAACCTGAACGGCCTGACCATGAGAAATGCTGAAGGAATTCCTTGTTCTGCTTTGCTTGTGCAGGGCTTTTGCTTTACCTGTTAAACTGTCTTTATCTCAACCCTTGAGTTTTCTCGCTTCTCTTCCGATTCTCTCCCCATCCCACCAGAGGGGAATGAGTGAACAAGCAGCTGCGTGGGGCTTTGTTGCTGGCTGGGGTTAAACCATGACAGAGCTGAAAAAGGTTTTGACTGCAGATACAAATACCTACCCTAAGTTTAGTAATCCCAGAATGGCCCTTACTGTTAAATATATGCTTTAAACATCTCTCAGACACCGCTGCTGAACATGGCAAGTAGCTTTATGAGTCTGTCATCCTGCATAAAAAGGAGGATAAAACTACTCCAAGGCCACTCTTTCACTCCTTTCATCCCCATTTGATCTGTTCTCTCTAGAGCAGCATAACCAGGACTTCCTGGGTCTCCTTACCCACCTCATGATTCAGAGGGCACCAGGAGCTTCTTGTACCAATAAATATACCCTTCCTCCTTCCTTGTCCCCACTCTTGTACTCACTTGGGGAGGTTTCCCATCACAAGGGCACTGACCTACACAAGAATCCTACCACACACACGATGTAAATAAACCAAAAGGTCCTGTTTAGAGGAGCTGTTTTCACACCCTCACATGACCTGTGGCAGACGTTTTTCCTGCAGATGAGGCTTGTGACTCCACACTGCCAGCGTGGGCTCCTGGAACCCTCTTGTGCTTTCCTCCATAACTACTTAGAGCATCCACTGCGATCCTCTGATCACAGGCATTTTTTACTCTGTGTATGAGTGGAAATGCCCTTCTGTCATTGCCCACACCAGTATCTCCCAGTAACAAAGCAATGCAATACTCCTCCGCTGTTCATGTGCATACATAACGTGTGTATGTACCTCCCATAGGAATGCATGAAGCATTTCTGTTTTATTCTGGGTCCTGGTCAAGCTGTGCTAGGAAGTGATCGAGGTTAGTGCCCAACTGTCAATGGCTGCATCAGTTACTGTGAGCAGCACATCTTTAAATGAATCTAGGTGGCAAGGGAAGTGGCTTTGTACAATTACTCTAGTGAGGCACACAGGTACTCAAAGATCTGCGTGGAGCACAAAACCTTGTGAAGGAAGCCAGGGCTTACCCACAGCACCATTAGGGAAAAGAGAAAAGAAACCAGCTTTGAGGTTATCAGAGGAGATATTTAAATGCATCAGTCTAGCTTCTTAAATACAACCTATTAAAGAATTTACCACGTTCTACAATAGCTCCATGATTGATACAGCAGTAAAATCTGTGTCTAAAAGCCCATACCTGAATGAGGGTGTGTGCTTAGATGAGAAGACAGTGCACTAAAACCAGCATGACAGCTAGGGCTTCTCTGTAACTGGAAGGGGTCATTGGTGTAGCTATGTGACTACAGCGATACCAGGAAATCCTCACAGCACATAACAGGGCTTGCCCTGTTTTATTTATAGACTGTTTTATCCAGTGTGAACTGTAGCAATTTCTGAAGCTCAAACACCCTCCACGGCAACGTTTTTGGGTTTTGCCTAGCTCATTGCCATAGGAGCTCTTTGACAAGGGCTATGGTAACAGAACAGTGATGCACACTCCTAAGAAACACAGCAAAACCTGAATTGAACCCAGGTTTGAAAGCCAGGACTGCTCTGTTCCCAATTCTGACACTAGATCACAATTTAACCTTCTGTAGGTTATATGATCATGCAGAATTTCAGAGTCTGCATTAACCTAATGAAGATAATAACAATAATAATGTGTCACAGATACAGCAGGGCTTGGTTATTATGTTCTTGTGAAGTGCGCAGAAGAGCCCCAGATGAAAGGGAAATTAGGAGAAGGAAGATTAATTATAAGACATGTGCATCCCAAATAAAAAACAGACAGGAACGTTTTTGTTGTTGCTATTATTAGGAGAGAGAGTCTCTCTGATTTAGGGCAGCTTTTATTTCTGTGTTGGTGAAGCAAACCCATTTAAACCACTTTCCATGTTCAAACTTTATTTGCAGATTGTGGGTAGGTGATAAAGGCTGTGGAGCCTCTGATACTGCAACCGAAAAGGCCTTTGATCAAAGGTCTGATTTCACAGTAACTGGTGTCTGTGAGATGACAAAGCTGACAGGCTCACCTGGCTTTTAACTGTTGCAAGGCAAAATAAGGAATCAAAAATTCATGGCCACTCTGAAGGAAAGACTAGGACTGAGGAAAAGGAAACATTTCCTGTGGATAAAGACACCCTAGGGAGCAAACTCACTCATGAGAAATGTTGCAATGAAATGATATTAACAAGCACTCGGGACTTTAAACAGAGTTGTGTGAACAGAAACATCTTATCTAGGAAGTACTGAGCATTTATCCTTTAGGTCAGTACCATTACCTGGTTTAAATATGGGGAAAGTGACACAAAGTGACACATCTGCGCTCACCCACAATTGAGAAGCACAGGAAGAGGTCCAAGTTCCCTACTTCTTCCCCAAGCTTCAGCCTAGACTTCTATCCAGCCAAGCAGACTCCCTCCTTTGCCAAAGATAAGCCCCAATTCTTCCTGCATCATGCTCGGAGTGTCAGATTCCACACTTCAACATCAGCCAGTGACAAATACAGTTCTAACTCTTAACTTCATTACATGAATTTCAAAGTGTTACCAAATTCCATGAACTATCCCCCTGGGGCATTTAGTAATGAATTGCTTAAAAAATAAATGCGTACAGGAACCTGGGAAAAAATAAAAACAGTAATTGTGCATCCTTTCCACGACACAGAAAACCCTTCACCTTGCACAGAAAGCTTTGTGTCTTTCATAAAATAAGGTGGTACTGAACCCTTCATTTCTCAAGAGTCAGATTTTGATACAAGTGCTGTCAGGAAGTCACCTCCACTGTCATTTGTGATGATTAACAATGCAGTAGAAGAGAAAAAAAAGACACAGCCTGCAATACCACTGCCTAAAAGAGGAGTTTGAGGTTCCCCCTTCACTAGAAACACTAAAAGGCTCCAATTTGTTAAGCTTCTGCTCATGGCCTGTGCATTGATTCCTTACTGACCAGTGCACCATGGAGCCAGCTAAGCACGAGATCAAGAGTTAACCCCGGCATGTAGCTCAGAGAAGCCCACATCTTTTCCAAAGAAAAGCTTGTCAAGACCCCACACCAGTTCACAGCAAGTTTACACCAAAAAGTATAAATCTAACTAATGAACCCTGTTTTCTATGGCTCTCTGTCTTGAGACAGCATTCTCCAAGCTTCTGCAGAGGTGGCGGATGTTCAGAATCTTTTGCCTCTGTGGTTTCTTTCCCATCTAATAAACATGAAGCTCCTGTTACAGGGACTCCCTCCTTTCCCTGGCTCCAAGTTCCATGGAACCTCAAGATGCATTGTACTTTTGAGAAGTCTTCCTTCTTCAAGTGTGGATTAACACAGTAAGGGGAGAGGGGAATAAAGAATAAGAGAGACTGATGTACAGAGTGCCCTCTGTTCAAATGAAACTGCTTCCACTGCAATTTATGGCTTCATTTACTGGAATTGCTTTAGTTCTTTTATTTTATTCCAGAGTAACTTCTCTTTTTCAGAAAAACTACATATATTCTAGATCTGAAGCTGGCTATAGTGGCTCTTCCTCTCTACACAGCAGCACATCAGCAGTACTCCACTGTACCTATAAACTTGGAAACACATGCACTATTCCTTGCCAGTTACAAGTCTCACTTCTGTTAATCAACATCTTCAGTCTTTTAGGAAGACAAAACACCACATGACTCTGGTGAAAACCAGCAACATTTCTTGCAATGATGTTTAATAACAAGAAGTTTCATGACATTTGGCCTGGTCCCCAGCTCTCACTCCTTATCTCAGGATGGTTTTAGGTGTGAAGTGGAAAACTGTTAAATCTTCAGAGATAATCAAGACCAGACACAGGTCTGTCCATGAGGGACTATCAGGGAAATAAAGGAAACAATATTTATCTTTCCCTCCCTACCCACACTCTACTTTTGCAGAGAAATATCTAAACAGTTGAAGAGATGGGGTCACGAAGAAAATGCTGAGCCACTGAACTTGTACAGAACATAAAAGGCAGAGCTTCTTTGAAGAAACAGTCTGTTGGGGTCCTGTGAAGATGCTTTCTCACAGAGAAGAAAAAGAGAAGATCCATTTTGAAATTAAAAGGCAACCCAGTCCTCAATATGGACTGTAATACATGTTCTTTGGTCCTGCACTTCAGTCACTGGTATTAAAGGCACTTCTTTTAGGAGACATGTCAATCCTTTTGATCATTTATTCTTGATTTAGATGTTGAGCAGAAAATAAAGCACCTCGGTTGTATGCCCATTAGAATGCTGCATAATATAGAGGGGATGAAATTGAAAAAGCATCCAGTCTGAGGCAAACAGGAAAAAAAAAACCCTCAATGTTGTCTGATTATTGAAAGTAACTCACAAGAATATTGTGAAGGGCATGTGAGGTCAGTAAATTCAAAGTAAATGAGGCTTCAGGAAGTACTGTAAACTAACACCAAAATCAGTGCTATCAGCTAAAGTGATTCTCAGATAAAAGAAATTCCCTGTCAAGCACTCTGCTGTGGGGTATACATGTTGCAGGTGGAGAGCAGACTTGAGCTCTTGTATAAGCGTGCCATGCCCCAAAGCCTTTATTCCATCTGCTCATGACATTGGCTCAAATCACACTTGATTCCAAGTAACCACATGGTGTGCAGGATATTTGCAGGGAAGCTGGGCTGTAGAAGCAGTAGGCAGCAGAAGCAGTAGGCAGCAGGTGCTCTATCAGTCCCCTCAGTGCTGAAGCAAGAGAAGTTTGCTCTGGATGTTAGTGCAGAACACACCAGTATGGCTATAGCTCACCGCTGAACATGTTTTAGCATATATAGATGGTAGGTAAATCCACAAGAACCTGACAAAGTAGATGTGTGAGCTACCGTAGCACAAAGAAAGGCAAACACCAAGCTAGTGAAGGTGCTTTCAAGTCAGTCCAACAGCCAGACACGAATGCCACCCAAACACCAGCAGATAGCTCCATGCAGGTCTGAACAGGCACTCCAGGTGTTCCCAGGAGGTACACGCTTTACCAAAGGAGCTGCAGCATTCCTCACCGATCTCCGTCACGGAATGGTTTTGAGATGGGGTCCCAGAAGTCATTTACTTTGTAAGACATCTCCCCCAAAAGGTATTGGGAGGGATGGAAATGAATACAAGAGAAAATGAATCTTTTCATTAGTTCAGAAAGATGCAATTCATGACTCATAGCAGCTTGTATAAATAAATAGCATAGTTTAAATCTTATTTGTAATTATACTTCAAGCCAGAGACTTTCAAAGCTGCACTGAGAATATGGCATCCAACTGTCTAATTTATTGTTATTTTAAGCAGGTACTGTATGCCCAAATTCCCTTGGCAGATTATATCTCTTCTTAAGTGTTTTGCTAGAGGTAATTTTCCTGTGTTCATGACAGCAGCAATGAGAAGAAGGAAATCAAACAAAAGAGAATTACGTCTATGCTGTCCAATTTCTTCCTCTCTCTGTGGCAAGTTGAGAGAGATGTGGGCACCACTGCAAAGGGGTACACTTGCTGTGCTCTGCTGGTTCGGCACTGAAGAGGAGTGGAAGCGAGGAAGGACCAAATGCAAGTAGATTGGCAAAGGAAACAAACCAGTAGGCTTTCTTTACCTGCCCTGCATTTCTGAGGAATATGAAAGACTGCTTTTGGTGCTCCTGCTCACTGCACTACCCACCTGCTCATCACATTACAATAATTAACAAGGAACAAAAGCTCAGAAGCAGATCACCTTGAAAGTCCTGTTCATACTCCATCAGGCTCCTGCAGGCCACAGCCACAGCCTTAAATTCCATAAGGAACAAAAATGTATAGAAAACCAGGAGTTACTCAGGAGAAGAAGCATCTGTGCTAATGCATGGGTAAGTCTGGAACTCCAACCTGCCCAGGGAATGAGGCTTACCAACACCTTGCTTGAAATCCCCCAGCATGCTTGGAAGGACCTGCTAATCCTCAAAGAAATGGATGCAATGTGGAGGAACTGTCACAATGCTGGTTGCTCTTCAACAGTCAGAGAATAAAACTGCTGAGAAGTGCCTATCACATAACTACTGCTTTTTACTACCTATCACAGCACTGCAGCATCGCATGAAATCCCAGTCATGGAACAGACACATGGAAAATGAGCAGCCTCCCAGTATATACCCCTGTTAATGGCCACAAGGATCACAGTCACCCATTCACAACAGAGGTTGAGCTGGAAAAGAGGTACCATCTATCCTTTCCTCAAGACACTGTTTTAACCAAGAGAGATCTCCACGTGGAAGTACAATCAAATCCTCAAGTGTTGTACTTATTATAACTGTAAGATATAAATACAGATATATATTCAGAACAAAATGTTCCCTAAATCAGTTTAACTCTTTGTTTTTCTGCTGGTAGAACATCTGGACTGCACCTCCCTCAATTAAGAACTTGCCTTTCATGCCAACTCAAATCCCCATGCAGTACCTTTGATTTTAGTTTCATCTCCTGCTCAGTTTGCTCCCATTTTGTGATGGAACAGACACAGAGGAGTCAGAGCTGCTCCATGCACACTAAAACTGAACCCAAACACAGCAGGTTTTCCTTCTGTGCTCAGAAACATGGCCAGTAGTTTGACTTTTATGCGACCATTACTTAAAAAGGCACACAACCCTACCCAATCTTGAACTGACTTCAAACCTCTTTCTTTACTTGCCCCTATTCCTACCAAGTGTATGCTACAGGTAAGAAAATACAACTTGATTTCTGAAATGGCTCAGGCTAAGAGAAGTCTCTTGCAATCACTTTTAAATACCTGTAATTTCAGAGAACACCAATGATTCATCTCCTTGTATGTGAGGTCATGAGCTGCTGTTCCCCATCTTCTGATGCTCTAAGGACCCAGAGGAGGACTGCAGATACTCAGATGTTAGAAGATGTAAGTGTTAGAAATGGCAAAGACATTTGTCAAACGCAAATACGCTCCGTCCTACTCCTACCTTCTTTTTAGCATAATTTCCGACGTTTTATATTGCATTAATGCCACTTTTGGGGGCTGAGGAGAAAATTCACCTCAGGCAAATCACCCTAGGATACTGCAAAAAGAAAAGACTGCATAAAACATCTATAGACAGAAGGATCCTGCTGTGTGCTACAGGCATAATACATCTCCATTCAGCTAAATTGTGCAATAGAGAAGTGGAGAAAAACTGCAGAAACTGCTTTGAAAACAAAAACAAACCCGTTTTCCTGGAGCCATCAGCAGGTCTGCTTGTCAGATCAGCTGCCTTGTTTTGTGTGTGCTCCATTCAGATGTAAAGAAATTCTTGAGGAAAACTGCTAGTACTGCTACTTACACCCTTCACATACGCAGCTGGAGTGAGATTTCTGCTGTGGTGGAGCAACAGCATCAACAGAACAGTTTAAACCTAATGGCAAGAGCTACTTAAATACGTATACAAAAGATTTCTTCATTCCCTGCTATATGAACCGTAGAATTTTTACATTCTTTTTACAGCAAGTTTTAGGGAAATGGGCTAATTCAGGGTAAAGATTATGAACTTGAAAGTAGAGCTGAAGGAAGGAGGTTAACAAAGGTAGATGGAGTCACAAGAACCCTCCCCACTTCAGCAAGGAAAGCAGAAGCTCCACAGAAGGGAAATCTCGGAGCCACCAGCAGACATCTGTCATGTTTTAGGTTCCCACCTGACAACAGCACACACACGGCCTCATGCTTTTTGAGGAAGCGCTTCCAGAATCAGTGCTAACTTTTGAACAAGTAGGATTTAAGAACTGCCATCTCCTGGTTGTTTATCCTTGTGATATCTGGCACTCTCCTTAAAACAGCTGTTGCTGCAGTTACTGAATCCTTTAACCTTATGGTTGTGCAGCAAATCCCCCAAACACACAAAAATCCAGGCTCCAAACCCAGAATACAAGTCAATCACACACAAAAACCGACTCATATTTCCAAGTTTCATGGCAAATGCAAAAGGCCCTACTTGTTATGGTGGCAATTACTCATAGTAGGGTGAAAGTTTCCATCGCACACCACCAGCACCCTTTGATTTAGTTTTTGCAAACAGAACAATGATGATTCCTCCTACAAAAAGCTTGCTCAGACAAAAGATAACAAGGACACATAAGGACAACGCAAGAAAACAACACATCCCTCTGACTGGTATCCTCACAGGACAAGATGGAAAGGCCTCAAGTTGTACCAGGGGAGGTTTAGATTGGATATTAGGAAAAATGTCTTGACTAAAGGGTTGTCAAGCATTGGAACAGGCTGCCCAGGGCAGTGGTGGAGTCACCATCCCTAAAGCGACTTAACAGATGTGTAGATGTGGTGCTGAGGGACACGGTTTAGTGGCAGCCTTGACAGTGCAACAGTTGAACTCAGTGATTTTAATGGTCTTTTCCAACCTAAACAACGTGATGACTCTATCTTGACCAACTCAACACCCTCTTTTTCATGTTGCTGCCACGAAACAAACCCTGCACCTCTAAAGCTAGGAATAACTAAAATCCTCTGCCTGTTGCTTTGCTATCAAAATACTACTATGGCCACCTGGCCTTGTAAAGGACAAATTACATGGCTGTGGTTCTGCCCCCATGAGAATTTAATTGCTGTATCTTTCTTATCTGATCAGCAGCGTCCCAGTTCTTTGCTTATCAGCTGCTGATTCCCACCTCCCTGCCCTGCCCTGGTTACTGCTGCGCCCCAAGTCACCTGCCAAAGCAACCACTTGTGTGGCCTTGGCCACAGTCAGAGGGGACCAAAAGCACCTACAAAGGAAAGAGGAGGAAAAAGGGAATGGGATTTTCCTTCACTTTCTCCTCCCTGCAGAAAACAATGACTAATTTGCCTTATAAAACAAAATTAACACTGCTAATGCCTGCAAATAGTCAGCTAAGCCTTCAGAAATGACCAGACCCATTATTTCAGCAGCAGCATGTCCTAATCCTCACCTCCACTGCTCCAGATAGATACAGACTAGCTCTAGAGCCTCACCTCATAAAGTGCTTTGAGTTGCATCTATTTCCTCTTTGAGTCCTTCATACTGAGACACTGAATTACATCATCAATTTCTACAAAGTAGAGGTATTTAAATGCCATCCATCATCATGGTTTTACTTAAAACCCCTTTCCCTCTTTATCCCTTTCACACAGTTCACTCTCAGCATAACACAGGGAAAGCTTCATGTTTTAACACACACTAACAATCAGCTGCAAACAAGAGGTGTGAAAGGGAATTAGGTATGCAAGTGAACTCATTCACAAATGAACTGCCCCTTCATTTTCAGGAGCATGCTGCTTTGCCACACTGGAAAGGCCTTGCCAAACAGGAGGCAGAGAGGGAAGCATCAGTGTTGTTCCAGCAGCTTGAAAACAACTGGAGTGGGTAAATGAAAATACACTTTTGCTTCTAGGTTGGATGGGGCTAGGAGCAACCTGGTCTAGTGGAAGGGGTTGGAACTGGGTGAGCTTTAAGGTCCCTTCCAACCCAAACCAGTCTATGATTCTGTGAGAAGCTGTTTCAGGATCGACCTCTTCTAGTTGCTGTTCTGTTTCCAAACTCAAGGCAGACATCAGCATCATCCCCAACATTATGATATTAACAATGAACAACTAACCTACAGGCCCCTGGGAGTACTGGTGATTTGTGAGGAGTTCTTACAGGCTGGACAATCCTGCTATGCAAGGTAGGAAAGCAGAGCTAGGGAGGAGCACGCAGGAGGTCTGCAGGGTGATCACAGGGTGGAACATGGGCTGTCTGTGTTTCTCACATGTTCCTGCTGAAGTCCTCTTATACAATGGAGCCTTCTCCCTGTCTGCTTTCTCTCTGCTGTCCTGCTTCCAGCACCACTTATAGGGATGTAGCAGGGTTAAAGAGCACAGGGACTCCTGCAATATGATGTACTCTCGTGGACCTTAGGACTCTGCAGTAATAGGAACAGCAATACTTCAGCGCACTGTCCAAAACCTGGCTTGAACTCTCTGGTCCTCCTTCCATTTATCCTTTCTAACACAGGAAAATAAAGGAGTAAAATCTTTATCTCAGTTGTACAGTATAAACACTCCGCAACTACCCTGTATTCTCACTAACATGAAGATACCTCAGCCAGGCTATTTTCTATGTAAGCTTCACATTATTCAACTTTGATCAAGATATGAATATCATTTCCTTCCTGAAACTTTTCAATCCAAAATAAACATTCCTCCTTCACAATCCAACATTTTTCCACAAAGCCACTACTAACATTTCACAGCACATTTCAAAAATAAATGCTTGCAGCCTATCAAGTAAAGCTTTTAGCTTAAATTACACACTCTTCTTTCATAAAATTACAGAACGTGGTTTTGCCTTCTTGCTGTAGCAGAGACTGCACAGAAGTGCACTGCAGTACTGCTGCACCACATCTGCAGCCTGCAAACTGCTTAGGCCCAGTCTTCTGCTTCATATTAAACAACACAGAACCCCATTAATTTGATCAGAAGCAGAGATAACGATATTGGGCCAGCCTTACTGGTTGAGGGCTGCCAATTGAAGGGTGATCCTATCATACATAGGGAAAAGCCAGTGGAAGAAGAGTTGCCCACAGGTGTGGCAAAGGTGATCCATAAGCAGAGAGCTCCAGTCCCCCAGCAGACAGTGTTGTTACCTGTCTGCACAGAGCACAGCACGAGTGTCCTTAATTGCAATTCCTAACTGCAAATGGAAATAATACATCATTATTCAGGTTAGATATAAAGAGGAAGCTCTTCCCTGTGAGGGTGAGGAGGCCCTGCTACAGGTTGCCCAGAGAAGGGGTAAATGCCCCATCCCTGGCAGTGTTCAAGGCCAGGTTGGACAGGGCTTGGAGCAACCTGGTCTAATGGAAGGTGTCTCTGCCCATGGCATGGGGTTGGAACTGGATGAGCTTTAAGGTCCCTTCCAACCTAAACCATTCTATGATTAGTGTATAACCAAAAAGTCTCCTCCAGGCATTTAAGATTTGTTTAAGAAGCACCCATGACTACTTCAGTAAACAGCAGAACTCCACTATGTTTTAGAGCAGAGCAGAAAAGTATAAAGATCTGGAGCTTAAAGTATCTTTGTACTTCAAGACCAACCTCCATCCACTGGTTACATCATAAGCCCTTGAAGATCTGAATAGTTCAGTTAATTGCATTTACTTGTCATGTCCTCTTACTTGAGAAATCCATTTAAGGCTGTGCACATAGAAACAGTTATAACAACAACAGGGGATACCCAGAGGATAAAATTGATGTAAAAAGCAGACAACAAAGAATAAGGTTTAATTTCTCAGGGGTCCTAAAACAAAACAAACAAAACAAGCCCAACAAAACAGCACCGTGATGAAAACCAGATGAAAGTGCAACTCAGATCCATCTCTCCTTTCATCTCAGCATTTCAAGTTTTCAGACTTTATAATAAATGATATGTTCTTTCAGTTCATGACATGACATAATTAAACATACGGCCTAAAATGAGAGACTGGGTGCTAGCTGGAACTCTGAGCATGTAGCTTTGATTCAAACGAGCCAAAGGCTCACAGCAATAACTGACCCTTCCACCAGCTGACAGGACTTCAAGACCAGAGCACGTTATTTGGGAGATTCTTGGACTTTACATGGCAAACAGAATTTTTCCTGCAGCAGCTCGTGAGCTCACATTTTGAGGTGTCCTAGAAGAGCTTCTGGTTCTCCAGCCCGGTTCTCCTCTGAACAGTTACACTGCTGCTGAACAACACAAACTTCTCTGTACAGTGAACACACAACCCAGGCACCTTCTTCACACATCCAGGAGGCAGCTCTGCACCCCAGCCCCCTGCTCACCACCTCTGCCTTGTCAATGCTCTCTGTCACAGCACAGCAAACCTCTGCTCCATCCTCCTTCAGGGGCGAATGCCTCCGCTGGGGCTCAACAGAAAAAGACCACACTGAGGAGTTTAAAACATTCAAAATTCCAGCTCAGAAACAGAGAGCTGACAGTGGCCAACATTTCTAAGGGCAAAATTACAGCATGTGGGAATTACAGATCTGCAGAGAAACCAGCAATCTGTGAGGAATTCAAGTCACCAGGAGCGACAAATGAGGACCACAATGCTAACAGAATTAGACACAGTCTCCTTTTAACCTTAGCTCTATTTTTAAGGGGGTTTTATTTAAAAAAAAAAAAAGTTTTGTATTTGTTTTGTTGTTAAAGTTTCCATGAAACTGGGCTGAGAGCAACTGTGGAGGAATGAAGCTTCCCCATAATTTACTCTCATTACCTTAGGATGTGTGAAACGAAGCCCATCCCTGTACAAGGAGGTTTCTTCCAGCTGTTGAACAGTGACAGTGACCCAGCAAGGATAAAACTCCGTAGCAACATCAGAATATCCATACCCTTTGCAAATAGGCCCCTTGACTGGAGGCTGTCTACTGTAAGCTTTGGTGTTTTTTGAGGTTCCCTTGCATTCTTCACTCTTCTCTCCAGCTGGGGAGACTGCTAGAGTGAATAGGCAGCTCTCTCCCACTGTGACTGCTGCTCATCTGCATGTCAATAGGCTGAACTATGGAAACACAAACAAGAACCCAGCCAATTCCCACCCCCCTCCAATCACTAACAGTAAACTCACACAACAGCACCTTTAAAGCCATGCCTGTTCTATTTGATAATTACTCTAACAGCCCACCTAAGCATGGCCACTCAGCCCCGGTTTCCAAAGGAGAAACCAAAACCTGAAGGATGAGGAGGAAACAGCTCATCTGCTGAATACAATGTTCGGAAATGTGAGGTGAACATTCCTCACCAAAGCCAGATGAATGATCCCACCCGAGCACAAAGAATGGATTCATATTTCATATATTTTCCATTGTTTGAGCTTGCTTGGATATTAGTAACTACATTCAGCAAACACCAACGAGAGACATTTAGTAGCTAAAAGATTAATGTTCCTAACAGTGCAATAGCAGAAGCAACAGGCAGGCTGCACCCTGTTCAGTTCCACCACCGTTCTCCACTTCTGACACAGAGACCCACCCTTCCATGGGCACAGTTATCTCTAACACCCACCACTGAGATGTGCAACATCCACTGCTCAAACGAAAACATCACATGAAAGCTATTCACAATGAGGGAGCAGCAGCATCGAACCCCAAAGGCAGCCAAGTGCCCCAGTTAGCTGCTTAGTCCAAGTAGGGTTCCCAGGAGGCTCCACTGCCCAATGCTGTTTGAATGATTTTCAATGATAGAGAGTCAATAAAGAGCCAGGATGGAACCAAAGAATTCTGGATTGAAACAAGTGAATACTTTGAGGTGTAAAATATTTAAATGAGATGGCTTCATGACATAAGGAAATGTCCTGCTTCAAATTTTCACATTGGAAAAGGGTTGGTTTGACTCCAAGGGGCTCATCAGACAGTGAAAAGCATGGTAGAAGGGCTTGTGCAGAGTAGGCAGACCTGGCAAGCCTCAGAGCCCAGTGGCTATTTCACAGTTGATCTTCACTTTCTTGATCCTCCTGAACGTGCAGCTGCTGGGGCACGTGTGCCTGGCACACAGCATCCTGCCTGGGGAAAGGGCAGCAGCCCTGTACCCCAGAGAAGGCACAGTGCCCAGAAAATCTGAACAGAAACAGCAAAAGAGGCTTTACCAACCTACAGTGGGTTTCAAATAGAAGTCTGCAGTGCTCCACAAGGGACTGCTACTGTCTCGAAAGAGCCAGCATCCTCCCAGTTACCACTTGGCACCAATCACTGGTGAGCTGTGTTGCTGACGGTCTTTATAGATTTAACAGAAACCTCATAATACAGCCTGTTCTAGCTTTCACTACAAAGCACTCTTCAGCTGGACCCTGTAAAAATATAATGCAGTATTTATGGACAAAGCCAAGCTTTAGGAGACTAGCAAAGTATTAAGTGTCCTTAAAACTATTAATGGAGATAGGAGAAACAGGGAGCACTTCTCAGTGCAGGCTGCTGGCACACGAGGTCCCAGCAGCAGCCAGCAATGGCAGGTGCACATGAAGAGGTCTGTGTGCAGATTCCAGAGGGACAGCTTTCTAACAGAGCAGCTCTTCTCCATTGGGGCTGGTGTCACTCCTTAATTTGATTACACACAATGAGAGCCTGGGGAAGGGACAGAAGGAAAGGAAAATAAAAGAGTGATGACAATCTAAGCATCCATGCTAAACTTACAGGGCGCGTGCAGCTGCAGTCGCAGCAGCAGGGGTACCTAGCAGTGGTCCACAGCAAAATTACAGGGGGATCAGACAGCTGACATGGCATGATCCTCTGGTAGACAAGAAATTACTTGCTTTTCCCTCAGCAAACCACATGCCACATAGCAATTTTGAGTGGAAAACTGCTATCCCAGATTTAAAGGGAAACTAATCCATGAAAAGAAATCCATCACAGAGCGGGAAGGCCTGGACTCTGTGTGAACACAGCACCACACACACAGACTGATGCTCCATCTGTAACTCTCGCAGTTACCAAGCCTTTCACCACCAGTCTTTTTAAGAGTTGCTGAGAGACTCTTTTCTAACCAGAACATGCAACCTAAAAGCACCCAAAGTGTGCTCATGCTTCCCTCCAGCCTTGAAACCTTAGAGAGGGATTATACCTTTAAAAGACAGGACAACCCAGTCCCTATTGCATTCTGGGTTGAAAGGGGAAAATAGAAACACAAAACCAACATGAGAGTCTAGGATCAGGTCCTCCAGACTAAGCCCAAGAATATCACTAAGGTATAAAATTGCTCTTGTTGGGATATTTAGGTGCAATTTTTTTTAAGCCTACCTTAAAATTGCCATGGCACTACCTGCCAGAGTCTAAATTATACTTGCAAAATTCTATATACTAATATTTCAAGTGTATAATTAGAAAGGAGAGGATACAGTTCAGAAAAACCATACTTATAAACCTATTTCTTTAAAAAATGGAAACTTTCTGCATGACTAAGATCTGTATTTTAGGTCTCCTGTCTTTACGCCTCAACACTAGCAGAGGCAACTGGAGCCCACGTTTGAATAGAAACTGCAGACAGGGATCTTCTGCATTATGTCAATGGCATTGATAAAACAAAAATATAAAGAAAACTCAAACCTTACTCCTGCAGAACAGAAGAAACCCCTGAAAACAGCAAAACGGTAGAAAACTTGTGCTGCTAATAAATTTTCTTCTTACCAGCTTCCTTCACTGCAGCCAAACTCAAGCAAGCAAGAAGTTTTGTGTGTTTTAATCTACCAAGAAAACTGAAGAGCTGAAAAATACTGGGTTTGCCAGGCACAAGTGTGATTAATGCCATTTACAAACAGCTTCATTATCAGATCAGTGATTTAAATCTACTAACAAGTGATGTCCACAGCACGACTGATCCTAACTGTTGCTCTCTGACAGTCTCTGCTGAGACCTGAGGCTGAACATTCACAACTATGGAGACAAACTGAACTCTCCCACTGCTGGGCTTGTTCTGTGCACACAGATCTCTTGCTACAGATAGCAACCGCATAGGAAATCTCTCCCATTCATCATCGATGCAGTTTGTACTTCAGCAGCATAAAGTCTGAGTGAATAAATCCAAATATCATCAGGTTACAAAGTCCAGTAATTCCTAAACGGTGATGAACATATTTCCTATTCACGTTGAAAATGTGAAGGGAAGGTATAATAGAGCTTGACTAAGTATTTTGGTCAAGGTTAAATCCCAATTCAGACTGTACTGCATGTCCTTACAGAAAAAAACCTCTATCCAGGCACTCACAGAACTCGTGCTTTTATTCAAACATCAGCTCTACTGCTAATTTATTCTTGTTAAGTGGCTTTCAGCAATGCAAGCGATTTAAATGTACACTTGTGAGGCAAATGTAAGCTTGCAATGATGTACCAAGTTTGACATTTATACTGTTACATATTTTTGAGCATAGTATGACTACAGAAGCATTACTAATTTTAAGTCACTTCCAAATGAGAATACAGAGAAAAAGTGATTTACTTCTCTCTTCCTCGGCTATTGTTGCAATCTGTCTTGCTCCACAGCCCAAAACCATGATAATTTTGGTAGCTTTATAATAACTTAAAGTACACCCACTGTGCCTTGAATAGCTACCAAAAATATGCTTTAATAGCAGATTCATCTTTGCACACCTTTAAGGACAAACCTAATTTTAACCCTACTTGGAAAAGCATTTTAGCTTCCAAGAGCTTTCCTGAAGCATGATAGGAGACAAAGAACCTCTGGAAGGGCACTCACTATGCGGTGACTCAACGTGTGTTTTCTCTAGAAATATGCTCCACGAAGCACAGTTGTTCTCCCTGCACAGCATCTGTAGCTTCTGAAACTGCCAGGTTCAGAAAGAAGCCCACTTCTCCAGTGCCCCCAACACCAGCTACTTAAGTATGACCCAAAACTTGGTTACATAGTGAAAGATCTGCCCAATTTCATGGATGCTAAAGCACCTACAAAACAGTGCACTAGCTTCCAAAACTGGTCAAAGCGTACAAAATAACTGCAGTACCCATTTATGCCAAGCTGGAATTTGCCAACGTATAAGAGGTGCAAAAAATGACTACACAGGAATATATGTTTTCTGAAGGAAATACCACGCTGCTCTAAGTTTTAGCAGTTCTACCAAGACCCTGCTATAATGAAACAGACAAGAGAAGAAACCTCATTAATTTTATTGCTTTTCTAGCACTTCTGTGCAGATGAAAGTACACCATGGAGCTGGCAAACACACAGCAGTGCGGGCCAGGGAAGCATTGTGAACAGCTCGTGAGCATCCAGAACCTGCATACATATAAAAAGTAGATTAAATGAACACGGGGAGAAACGAAATAAAGGTAGTTATTACCTTGTCAGCTAGGAAATGCTGCTGGGGAGAAAGCAGGGAGGAAAGGGCAGAAAATACACTCACTGTGTGGAGTACAAGTGGGCAAGTGCCCAACCTTTAGCCAGAATCAGCACCCAACAAGCTCACATTCTGACTAGTGACCCAAGGGGTTTTGTTAGGGATTGTTCAATTGTCTGTGCAGTCTGTGTGCAAGCACAGACGAACAAAATCGCTGGGATTCCTCTCATGTAGAGAAAAAAGTTCTCTCCCTTGCTTTAACACCAGTTGGGAATAAAACACACACACTTCTTACTGTAGCTGAATTGATCATCCAAAACCCAGGAACCTCAGCACGCTGTTGTTCTAAGTCAAAAATCAATGACTAGAAACGAGCACCTTAGTAATTTCCATGTCTTGTTATAGGAGAGTCATAATGGAGAGATCAATGTTTGCCCCTCCAAGCACTCTTACTCGAGTAAACAAGTACCTTGTTTGGCTCTGCAGAGTTACAAACTCCTCAAAAAAATGCAAACAAAAAGAGTCTCATCTCCTAACACTATCGTATCACGTTGCTTTTGGTCCTTTACCCCTTCTCTTCCCCAAGACCCAACGCATCAAGGAAAGATCCAGCACATCCAAGATAGAGCTGCTCAGGAGCTGTCAGTTTTAATCAGAGCACTGTAGCTGTCAGTCATCAGGGCCCTTGGGCATTTGGCTTCCTGAATATATTGTTATCCTGAAATCAGGCAGCATTTCTGGCTGCTAGACGGAAATAACAACATTATTACAAATGCTTTAATATTAGCTGCAGCAGTATTTGAGTCCTAATAGACTAACACACAAACACATGCAACCACTCTTTATGAGGCACATTGGTGCATTAGAAATCATTTTTCCTTATTGCAGTTTGTTTCTTCACTTACACAGTATTTATTAACAGTGTCGCAATTCTGCATTAATTATTATTTAGCAGTGACAGCATGCTTGGAACTGCACAAAATTGGTCCCTGCCCCAAAGTGCTTAAGTTGCCCTGATTCAGTGTCCCATAACCAACATTTCATACACCAACCTGTTTGATTACTATAGCCTGGATAATAGTGCCACTTGGTCAGCTAATATCACATCAAATTATTACATTTGTGCTGCTTAGGACAGCCAAGCTGCAGTGGGTCTAGCTGGGATAAAGCTCACAAGTATAAGCCTGTTGGAGAAAACCACCCAACACTAAACCATGGAATGGTTTGAATTCGAAGGGACCTTAAAGCTCATCCAGTTTCAACCCCCTGCCACCTGCAGGGACACCTTCCACTAGAGCAGGTCGCTCCAAGTCCCGTCCATCCTGGCCTTGAACACTGTCAGGGACGGGCATCCATCCCTAGAATGCAAAGGCAATGTGAAAATGTGAATAAAGAAAACGCTCACTGACAAGTACAGAGCAAATGCACAGAGTGGTTTATAAACCTCCCAGACTGCACAGCTGGTAGCAAAACTGTGCTAAAGCAAATATATGCCAGTATAAATGCAAAACATTCAAGGTCATCGCTACTACACAGGCACAAGTCACAAAATACAGAGACAACACAGAGAGAGAGAGGTGAAAATTGCAAATCAACAAGGGAAGACATCCCCTCCTTTCAGATCTGGACTGCTTTGTTGGCATACTCTTCCCAAAGGATCACTTCTCTGAAACGAAAATATGCAGAGAGAGCAGATCATCAAGTCATAGGACAGCCATATCAACCAAAGTTAACCTTTGGGTACTTTCAATGCAAGACCTGCTGGCTTCACACAGACAGAAGTCACGTTGACTCCGTCAGTTCACCCACTCTTGTTTTGCATGTTGCCAAGAACACAGGGCTCACAGTCTAAGACAATAATGACATGTTTCTAACACAAATAAAATGGGAGGCTATGAAACCAATAATTGTGTTGTTATTTACATAATTATTGGCAGAAGCCTGAACAAGGAGTAAAACAGATTACTGCAGTTTTGGTTCAATGCAGCCTTAAAACAAAAAAAACCCTCACATGCCAAGGCTGAAGGGATTTTCCTTCCAGCATGTGGTTCTCTCATTCTGCCAGCCAAGCTCCAAGCTGCTCCTGCAGCTTTTCTTCATAAAAACCCTGATCTTTTCCCTCTGCTGTTCTGCTCAGCCGCTGCAGTTGCTGACCACCGGCAGACACGGGAAAGGTATTAAGAAAAGCAAGCCTATAGGAGATAATACTGTTATAGGAGATAATACTGTTCAATAACATAACCCTGGTATGTTCAAGTTGCTGAAGCCTGAACTTAAGTCTGAGTTTTTCTTTAGCATTTCCCTCCCTTCTCTTCAGCTGGAACTGCTCTGTGATTTCAGTTGTGGCAGATCAACATCTTTATAGAGAAAGATGATTTACTGCCTCAAAACCAGAAGCACAGAATAGGTGGGAGCAGCAACACTGCTCTCATAACATGCTTCATCAACGTCTAGAAAGATCAACCTGACAGAAGAACTCAATGCCTTGTTATACGTTGAGAGATGGCATGGTGGTTCCCAGCCACATCTTGTGTGGAGGAAACACAAGCACTAGGAAGAGTGGAAAGACACCACCAGAAGGTCCTGAACAGCTCATCCCAGAGCTTTCCAACATAAACCTTCAGCCACTCTTGACTGGCAGCAGGTCCAAAGGAATGACCTCAGAAGTGAAGGCTTCTACATCACTTCAGCCATCCAGGATCCCTTACATTCTCACTCTCCTGATTATTTATACTGTTGTAAAACCAGAAGCATGGAAATTGCTGTTCGCTCCCTTTCACTTCCTTTCCCTGCAACCCTACAGAAATAGCCGAGTTACATAAGACAGAAACACCCACAAAATAACAATGAAAACAGATGTGTCAAAAACCAGAAAAACAAACGTGCATGTGCCTACTGTGTGTGCCAGTTCTAAGTAAAGTGCTCATCCAGGTTATGAACAGCGCAGTGAACTACCGTAATAGTCCCAAACCCAAAGCGAGGGTCCGGTAGTTAAAGAGCTCAGACCTAAGGGTTTGGTGGTGTGGGGTATATATTGTTTGGGGTTTTATATTCCCTTTGCCTCTCTCAGGTTTGCTTCTTCCAGACCAAGAATTTCAGAGCAGTTCACAAAAATGGCAATTTTCAAGAAAGCTCCATGCTATGTTCTGTACCCACACTTCTCTGGAAACCACCAGGAGCTGTTCACCTCACTTATACCTGTCTGGGCTCTGAGCCCAAGCCCATTTTGTTCAAGTCCTATCAACTTCCATGGCCCCTTAGGCACTTCACAGGTCCCCTGCAGGACTCATTTTGAACATACATTATTTGTTCCTAGAACACTCATCAGCCTACATCCACACTGCCAGTTTCCACGAAGCTCTCTCAACCAGCAGAAAGGTGTCATCCTCCATCATCCACTTCCAACAGACATCTTCCTGCTTTCTCCTGTGATGCCCATCATGTTTGATAGATCCTGTCTGCAAATACTTGCTGAAAGCTACCACTGTCTTCCCTCAAATCCCTCCTCATTCTTCAGTCACTAGTGACTAACCAAGTAAGTTATATCTGCTGATCTCCTAGGGCCTATTACACTAACCAATACTGTCTCTTGTCTCCTTCAGGCTCTCACATCCATGGCCTACAGCTTTCTGATATCTCTTGATACACATGGATTCCAGGTACCGTGAGTGCACCATCTGATTCAGTAGGAGCTGCACAATAACATCTTGGTCTATAATATATGTAAAGCAATGTTGATGCAAACAAAGAACCCAGCAGAGTTCTGATTTCCAAATTTCCTAATTTTTATCTGTAAGGTAAAACTCTACCTTCCCACTGAATCTCTTCAATAGGTACTGTGAACCTTGATTAACAGTTACAAGGAACCACAAGACCTTTATGAGCTGCATTTGATTCAGGCCAACACATTCTAGCACCTTCCAATCACAAGTTCCTCAGCACTTGAAAGCCCAAACAATGGGCTTTCATATTAGAGGCAAAGTCACCAGCTTTTAACAACATCTATAGAACTTAGTAGCCCATCATGCTACCTGATCAGCAGTTTATTTGTTTCTGATATATAGCAAATAAGCAATAAGGAATACATGTATAATAAATAGGAACAACTAAAACCAAGTTGACTGATGGAATTTAACCCTATTGCAGCTTTGAATTGTATTTGAAAACTCCTGAAGGAATGATTACAGAATTCCAGGGAAGCTTTTCCACATATCTTCTGAGTCTCAGAGATGAAGGGACTAGTAAGATCATCACATTATTCTTAAGAACATACTTAATATTCATGAGGTTCTTAACTCTATGTAATAAAAGCCACATTCACTGACTGTGATGACTTGGATGCTTTGGGGAAAAAAATTAATCAACATGCATGAAAGAGGATCTCAGAGTCAAACAGGAAAATCTGCACATAATAACAAAGATAGTTACTATCTGGCAAACCTACATCACAAGGAAGAAATAATACTATGATTAAACATAATAAGAATTCACTTGAAATGTAAAATACTCTGGAACAAATCCTGCCAACTCGCATAAGAACTGGCAAACAGGAAGCAGCTGACTGTGCAATAGAGCCCATCACACAGGGAAAACACAATGTTTGAGAAATAGATGTTCCTACACAGTCCTTGTCACTGTGCTGCCAAGGGCTTTGTGTCACCTGCTTTGGAAGTGCATGAGGCTTCTGCTCACAGTGGAGGACTTCTTGGGTTCTGAGGCAGCAACAGGTACCTACTGTCCAAGCAAAACATTGTGTACTACTGCAGATCCTCACACACATAAGCTAGTGGCACTGGTGCCTCAAGTAGGTTCTGCCAATATTCTGTTCTAATGTTTTCCAGCATTACACTGCTTCCACAGCTGAGTCCTAGGCTGAGATTAGCTCAACAGGAGACAAATAATACAGAGCTTGCACTGCCACTTAATGGTTTCCTCCCTGAAACTATAAGCACTGAATATAATCTTTTTACAATGGGGGTATGAGACTCTCCCTATTCCCATTACATACGTGAGATCTCAGACTGCATGAAGATAATTCAGTATGAAATGTGCTATGAGGCAATATATTACTATCACAAATGTGAGCTCACAAATATAAAGAAGCATTTTTGGCTTATAACCTCCTGAATACCTTTGCAGTGGAGAGTTAGTGTTGAACCTTTCCTAACCCTTCAGTTATAGCTTGTACTGCATAGTTTTAAACTAGACTTTCAACTTTCAATAATCATTTGCATGCATGTATCTTCAAAGAATGGAATTTGATTTGCAACTATGTGTTGTAATGAGAGGCTAATTAACACAAATATGGTTATTAGCAAGTTACAGACATTTACAGGACAAACACAGCAGAGCAAAGCCTGTGGCAGACTGCATCACAGGAGGAGAGAACCTCAAGGATGAACTAATACCAGCCAGGACTGTGCCACTAACTATATTACCACAGGCAAATCGCCGACACTCCACAACTCTGTTTCCCCTTCTGGAGTGGCATAGTAAGACTCGCTTACTTTGCTGGGTAGTCCTCCAGCTTAATTAAATCATTACCATTAAATTAAAGGCACTCCAGCAATGCCAGGAAGTAGCGTCTGAATTAGAAGGTGGAGGTGACACCCTGATGAAGCAAGACTATTTCCATCGTCAACAGCAGGCATAGTAAAAGGTCATCCATGGCATAATTGTGAAACCACATTCCAAGCTTCTGAAGGTAAGATGACTTTTCCCAAAACTTCATTAAGGAAGAAGATATGTCCCAGCATCACCAGATGGCTGAGCTGCTGTTGTTTCACAGGTAATCTACAAAGTATGATGGTTTCATTACTGCTACTTTTCCTTACTCTTGGCTTTCTTAACGGCAGAAAAACATCACAGCTCTTGAAAGAATGCTTTTTCCACAGGCAACTGTTTTCAGTATGATCAAAGACCTATTAAGAAGATTGCAGAGGATCATTTCCCTTCAAGTTGGTAATGTTCAGCAGAGAGTTTTCAATCTTTTCTTTAGAAGAGCCACAGTAAAGGCACTCCCACTTTTTGTTTGGGACAGCTTCTCCCAAAAAAGTAAAATAGATATTTCAACATTCTTCATACACACTGGGAATTTCCAGCTCTGCGTAAAGATAAGGACAATATTGAAACACCCACTACTCCTGTGCAGGCTTTTAACTTTTAAAGTATTGGGAGAAACTTATTTTTAAGCCATAAGAAGCAGGCCAGTCCTCAGTGGAGGCCCAGTTTTATCACTGTGTTCCCAAAAGAGCCGCAAGTTAATGTATGTCAGGCGTGAAGCTGTGTGTGTGTCCCGTATCTCAGAAGTTCTGTCATGGAATATCCCAGATACCAAATGGCACAACCCATCCTAAACTCATTTAGTCCATACTGGGAAGTCCTTAAATCAAAACTAAGTAAGACTGGCAGCTGCTTCCTTGGGTTTTGCACCTGAGAAAAGATTACCCCAAACCAACCCATTACATACAACGTCTTTGTATCCAGAGTATATACACTGAAATATGCCACACTTACTGTTTACTTTTAGCAAAAGCATTTGCTTTTTACTTTTAGGAGCAAGATGTGCTATAGGAGAGGTCGGTCAGCCTACTTCTTTCTATTACATATGATCTCCTGTGTGACTGAATGCATGTTACCTGACTTCCATGTGCTTATGCTAGAAAACAGTGGAAGATACCCACAGAATTACACTTGCAACAAAGAAACTCCATGTATGAGCTTTCTTTTCTAGTGACTAAATATATACTAAAAATCTACTTGCATATACTACTTACATACATAAATATATACTTGCCCTTTTTATACTTGGATTTCTGACCATGAAAACCAAAATGATTGCAACTAAGTTTTCAAGTGAGATGGAAGCTGTACTTGTAGTATTGTGCCCATACTACTAGATGCTCTGTTTGCTTATGTCCATCTGTCAGCTGCCTGCTCATCACTTTTGAGTCCACTGACCTGCTTTTGACTAAATTTGACGGCAGGAAGAAGTCCCCAAGCTCCAAACAACCTAAAAAATGGTTGGGTAGAGGAAAGACGCTTGAAAGACAAGAAGAGAAAAGTTAATGACAGAGGTCAGATCTTATTTGACGTCAGAGAACCCATAGGATTGATCACCCTAGAGACACAAATCCTCAGGGACCAGTTTTCATCGGTGCTGCTGCTCCTCTACCACTTGTTTCAAACAGAGCTGAAACCCAAAATGAATTCCGGTTCTCACAACACTTCACTGGCCTTAGGTAAATCATAACTTCTAATGCTACTTGCCCTGCCATAACGTGGGTAGTGTTAAACTCCCTTATTGGAGTTGCTGCAACAATTCGTATTTGAAATGTACTTTGAAGGTCTGAAGAATTGTATTCACTAATTATTACCTGTCTTGAGACATGAGCTGAATATTCAAAGTGCTAGCTTGATTCATATGGAAGTGCTCGTCACATAAGTATGTGGTATGCACAAAGCCTCAAAATATAAAAGCAAAGATTGCTTTTAGAGAAGACATTATAAAGGCAGTTTTGAGCTCAAAACACAACATTTTTATTATCACAACTCTTCTATTAAGACTGGATTAAAATTATTTCTTGGTTTGGATTAGCACTTTATAAAACACCAAGTTTGAGAAATAAATACCAATAGACAGAAGACAACAAGATCATGCAAAACTTGATTCTGTCCCCAGAGGGAAGTCTGACGGCTGAGATCTTACACCTTTGATATCAAGCTGCATGCTAACAGATAAGTTCCACAGGGCAGTTATTGAGCACTGTGAAACCAGAGTTTATCCTAGAAATACACTGGCAATCCCAGAGTTGGGACTGGCAATACTACATCTTAGCAGGCAGGCGGTTTTATCCTGCTTGGTCAGACACTTTCCAGCCTTCCCAGAAATGATGCTGCTTCTCCCTCCCTTCACCAGAGCATCCCAAGCCTTCTTTCAGGAAAAAAAAAATAATAATCAAATGATAAAGGTCTTACTGAAAGTACTAGAGGAAATAGGTGCAGAAGATAGTGCACAGGGGTGGGATAGCTCCCTGGAAAGGAAACTTTCCATGCATTAAAGAAAAATGCTGCTTTGCAGTATAATTCTCTAATAGAGAGATTCTTTTTTGTGGGCGAGGGAGCAAACTACAATTTCCTTCAATAACAACAGATCAACGTTGCATCTTCAAGCTTCCTCCTGTAACACACTGACT